AGGCCCAGGAAGTCATAGCCTCTATTCCCGAGGCTCCATCCCAGCTGACAGCGTGGAGCATTGGCTCACACATCCCGCTTCATCCTGTCTCACTGGAAGGAGCAACAGGGGCTCAGGAACACACGCCTGCCATCTCCAAAGACTACCATCAGCACCTGGGCTAGACCAATATGCATTGCTTAAAGTCAACTGAAGGGATAAGGAAAAGATCCTAGCCAGCTCAGTATATATCAATACATGGAAACAGGGTCAGGCTCAGCCAAAACGGAGGCAATCGCTCCTCTTTTAAGGAGAGTCACCTGGGTGGTCCTCCACAAATGTGCAACTGAAGTTTGAGTCCCAAGCATCTTCATGATTTTAACAAACTCAAAAATGTTAATTATACAGCAAGTCCCAGCCTCACGAACGTTTGAGTTGCACACTTTCACAACTACGAATGGACTTTGAATTTCAAACACTTGTAGATGCACACACATCAGAGACGTAGCTTGTGTGTCTGCCGGGCACTGTCACAGCGGTGCTGCTGTGAGTACACTACACAGTATGATGGTGACACAGTAGTTCGGGGCTCAGTCAGAGCTGGGGACTGCTAGGAAGGGCATAGCGGGACACACTGCGTATTTGTGTCAAAGGTGTGTAAGAGTCACTTTGTTGGACTTTCAAATGAGCCAGACTTAGGGACGTTCTCCCAGAACAGAACTCGTTCGTAAATTAAGCACTTATAGTAGTCAATTTATACTCTGTGATATTTTCTATAAAAATATAAAAAATATTGTAAAACTGAAATTTTTCCCTAAATTGAGCCCTAAAATATAATTCTGATTGGCTAACACAGGCAAAACGCACGCTAACAGTTTTGAGGATGTCTTTGTACATCTTTCAAAACATTTTGTTAAGTCATGCGAACAAGAAGGCATTTGGGTTTATGCTTGCTTAATTATTGAGTGCTTTTATTTTTAAATTAATGTGGTACCATCCAAATGGTGTACTATATTACATACAAAACATGCATGTGCACGGGCACACACACAAAACAAACTCTTAAATTTATCATTTACCAGCTTTTAGAAAGTTACACTATAGGCATGAGTTTTCTTTTTATAGTCCTAAGCAATACTCCATCCTAAATATGCCTGTCTGGAGTCAGGATTCCTAGTTGTAGCAAGGTGAGAAATGTACATCTCCAAGGCGCTTTTTGCCCAGTTAATTTGACTTTGAATTTCTTGCAGGCTTTTCTCCTCCCACATTCACTTATTATAGGTCTTAGTCAACTATAAAGCTTTTTACTCCAGATTGTAAAACATTTTTCTTAATGTGTTGAAATTTAGACATAGCGGGTCAGAAGTTTATATTTCTTATCCTGGCTTTATTGCTTAAGACCTCTAATATGGAACAACAAAACAAAAAACCAAAACCAAGCAAAACAAAAACCAGAAAAACACAATGGCAAGCCATCCGTTGTCAAATTTCATTTTTGCAGTTAAAGAACGGAAGTGACGGGACAAAAGTCAATTTTCAGCAAGCAAGTTTTGAGAAACATCCTGAAACATAGCCAGTTTAAACTGTTACCCCAAACAAGGGGAAATTTAAACCAAATGCACTCACCGACATAAGCAAAATAGCTGTGTGGTCAGTGGATACAGAAGGCTCTTATTTGTGCTCTTACTAATCCAGAAAAGGGCATGGAAAGCAGCTGTGGATATTCTCCTGAACAAAGTCACTCCAAAGAATCTCCTTAATGACAGTTGTACAAAATCAGAGTACATTTTCAGTTATACAGACCATGTTGTATTACAATAGAATCACTTTTATCTAAGTCACATGTAGCTAAAATTTTCTAGGGAGCTGCAAACTAGCACACACACTTTTATTCCTGGACAATTTACAACAGAGCTACTTAAACATACCACTACTGTATTCTCCTAAAAATCTCTTAATCCAAACATTTTTGTGGACACATAGTTCAAGAATTTTGAACTCCATACTGATGCACGAACAATCCTCAGAATGGCTTGAAGACCCAAATGACTTATGTAATTTTAGAAAGTACTGAAACCCTGCTGTCTGTCCTAGAATAAAGGTGGTTTAACAGGTGAAAGATAAAAGAAACAAAAGCAAAGAAAGCAAACCAAAATAAACCAAAAAAATACAATACCCCAAAACAAATGCCTGGAGAATTTGTCCTGTGCATAATCTCTTCTCATACCAGTCAGTACCCAAAAATGACCTACAGTTGGTCCAAAATGGCCCCAAAAGGTGGACGTTTTTACCCTATCCACTGGAACAAGCTAAGAGGATGCAAGGAGGTAGCAGATTCCTGGAGTGCACCTGCGGGTGGGAAACCAGGCTGAACTCTTCAGTTCTCTGAACAACTTTTTTCCTTTCACCAACAAACGCATTTATAGGCAGCTGATGTCACCAACAGAAAAGGTAGGAGCCTCTGGGATATAAAAGTGTCCCTAGCAGCTGCTGGTATTATAGCCGGCTAAGTTAAGTAAAAATATTACAGGCAGTCAGACAGGGAACCCGTGCAGAGATGAGAACACATCACAACTTTGGCTGGAGGCACATCTGTCAAAGGCCAAGCCCCAAGATGAAGATGAAATGACCAGGCCTACATGTGTCCCTAAGGGATAAGCAATAACTTAAAGATTATAATATGATCGATTTCACCTGGTCCAATAAAGTCTAGATAGACATCAGTTACCCAGGTGGGTGGCCAGGACCTCCTGGTCCACCCCTTCCTAAAATGGTCTTTGTTCCTCCCATGCGCACTTGGTTCATCACCTGCTTCCCCACTGGATCAACATTACCTAAGGGGCTATACTGGTAATATTGGGTGATCCTAGTTTTGACCCACGTTATGGCTACTTGGTATTTTTGCTCTGCAAAACCTCCTTTGAGAAGTAGGCTCCTTGGCAACGCACTTTTGGGTCCCCTCCTGTCTCTCCGGAGCTACGTCTCTCCAAGTTTTCATACTCAACCTCCCTTGTTTCTTAGAATTCATTCTGCAATTTTGGGAACAGGAACTCGGCGCATGTGACATCTAGCAGGTGGGGAGTGCTATCACCTCCCCTGTGTCACCGGGACACCCCTGGAGTCCTGAGCATGGGTTCAGCCAGCGATGGGAGCTGTCAGTCCATCTTCCCAAGTGCCTGCTGGGACGAACGGCTCAGGCGGCAGGGTCTACTTTCCGGCTGGCTGGCCAGAACTGTTGATATCTCTTCTAGTTCATAAGCCTAGGTTCATTTGCTTGCTGCTGACCCAACCGGAGGAGGCCACATATTCTGGTAGACAGGGTGAAAGGATTTCTAGAAAGCTGGCTGAGGTGCTGGGAGAGCCTGTCTGCGTCAAATCGCTCTCCGCTGGTACCGATGGGGCAGGGGTCGTCTACAGCAAGAAACGGGGTGCGTGCCTGGAAGCGCAGAGTGGCAGCGCAGACCTGCAGGCGTGCCTCACCGTTCCTAAGCTCGCGGACCCCCGGCTGAGGCGAGGCGGGCGCTGCTTGTGCGAGCAGCGGGGGGAAGTCTGGAGTAATTGCTTATCCTTACCAAAAATCCTCACTAACTTTCCAAGTTCCCTTTTGCAGTCTGATTACAGCTCCTTCCCTGGAGCCCAGTGCTCCGCCCTCGGGGAAACGAACCACCACGCAGCCCCGCGGCCTGCATCTGGATGTGGGAAACTTCCATTGACTACAGCCGGGGTTCTGCGCACGCGCAGTGCGGCCCGGCAGCTGCCGGGACTCCGGTTCCCCAGCGCGCATGTGCGCACGTTCAGCCGGCGCGCTGCGGCGTCCCCCTCCGGGCCGCCCAGCCTGGGTCTGGAGTGGCCGCCGCCGTCTCCCTTGGCCCCGCCCAGTCGCGCCGCTTTCCGAGCCGCACAGCGCGCAGGCGCGGTAACCAAGGCGGTGCTGTCTAGTGAGGATTTGAAATCGGCCGCGCGTGCGCACTGCGCCGCGGCCCGCGAGGGAGGCCG